ACTACTTAGCTTAACGCAACTTTAGGTAACCTCCATATTTCATTTATTTATCTTTCAAGGAATATGAAGTGCTTTGTTGTCTTCATAATAACTTGGGCCTTGGTGGCGTCATATCCTCTTGGCGACCAAGCTCAGGTAAGTAGGTTACCTCCGTACCTCATCACTTTGTTACGTTTCTCAAATGGCGAACTCTTTTTTGATTCGTTGCTTGAAATGTTTTTCTTATCCTCGATTAATTTATTTCTTCAACAGGACAAAGATCGAGACAAAGACAGAGATCTTGGTTAGTTTATAAACCGGTTTCTTTTATTAGTTACTTTGTTATAGAGGGTACGATCTAATACCATAAAGTATGACGCATTTTGTTTTACGTGGATTCGATAAGATCGTGAAAAACTCTTGTGCTTGATTCTTCTCGTTGGAAATTTTTTTAACTAGGTTTTACACTTGTCCAAAATCGTTTCAATATCCTCGCAAGAATTTTGTTGAAGCTGTGTTTAATTGTGCGGCTTTGAGTTTCTTCTGTAGACTTTCCTCTTTCTATCTCTTAATTCTCGCTAGTAATTTTGAGTATTGCATTAAAAAAAGATTTACATCATATTTAATCCAATCTCAACCAACTCTTATATCTGAAAATTCTTTCCCTTTTTCTTTGCATACTTCCAGATTTTTTTTTGTTTTTTGTAGTTGAATGAATTTTTCATCTGACAAAAGTGATGTGTTCATTTTCCAGGATCCCGGCCCTTTTTTGGTCTCCTCAACCCTCTATAAATGACGTACAATTACCAGATGATCCGTTTTAATTAATGCTATAATATCTACATTTTTAATCAGGTCTTGAATTACATCCGAAATAAGGCAATAATATAATGTGCAGAAGATAAATGGAGATTTTTGGGACCAAATGAAACTTTTTTCTTTGGGTTTTAAACCTCCAAATGTCATGCAACTTGAATGTGATTTGAATTTCTTCAACACGTTCAACAATTTTCTTTCTGGTCATTATTATCCCGCCTTGGTTATCTAACATGCGATTCATAGGGCAGTTTAAGACCCCTCCAATAATTACTTTATCTTCAAAATCGAGGACTTCTTTCTTTAGGACGGCAAGCAGATGATCATGAAATTGTGCGGCCGGCTTGATTATCATTGCTTGGACCGTAAACATTGAATAAACAATAGTTTTCGTCATCAATTTGTGTTTGAATGCCAATATATCTATTGCAGGATCAACGTATTTTTTTTTTATTTTACAATCAAAGACATTTTGTAACAAATATCGCAACTCCTCTCGCATTACTGCTCCCGTGGGCGAGCTCTAATAGTGCGCCCCATTCAGCTTTTCATGTCTTTTCGTTATCGCGCGTGAAAGGGTTTTCTTGAAGGAAAATTGTATTTTCATTTTGCTTTCTACGCCATGCAAATATTGAACGTCGTTTTTTAGCTACTCAAACCTCTTACTTTTAAAGATGACATTTTGAAATCACAAGAACCCATCATAATCATCTTCAGTAATGATCTGAGGGGAGGAGAAATTTGTGGCGGGCTCCTAACAGTTAATGTAACAAATACTGGTCAAGAAGGATCTACATCGTACAAAAGACAGAAACCTAGTAGAATTTTAGTGATAACAATTTTCGAGAACATATTGCAGGAGTCTCGCATCCTTCCCTTCACCAGCCACGTCCGGTCCTAAACATCACAT